AGAATATATTAAGTTTATTGTTGTTATCCCATTAGCCAATTATTTGATTTTAATAATAACTAAATATTATTATATTTACATATATACAATAAATGTTTTGTTTTGAAAGAATATATATCTTGAGTTATGTTTATTTTTGGTATCCCAATGTCAAATTTTTTTTTTTTTTATTTTAACCATAATTATCTGAAGCATGTCTTAATATCTTCTATCTGTTTTGCTTCTCAAGTAAATATATCTTGTTTTAGGGATATTTTAGTGGAAAACAAGACCAAAATAATGATTAAGAAAATATTTTTTGCAGTGTGCTTTGAGGTTTACAGTTGAAAGAATGGTGAGCTATTTTCAAATGGATTATCCTCGGCATCTCGCAATCTCATGAGGATCAGTGCAATCTTGAACAGCAGCTCTCCTTTGCAACATAAAAGTCAAACTAGTGCAGATGTATTTTGCCCTTGCTTTTAGGAGTGTTTCATGCAAGATCCCCCATGCATGCAGGATTTGGAGAAATATTCCTGGTTCTGTGGCTTCAGCATCCATAAAGTCCTTAGAATAACACTACTACATTATTTTTGCTTCTTACATTCACTTTGAACCAAAAAAAACTTCCTGTTGCTCACTTTTTCCTCTGTTTGTGGCCCTTCACACTTTCGTATCTCAGAGAGTGGGTAATTTTAGATCCAGCGCAGTGCTGCATCATCCTCCCCTGTGTCATTTGGGTCTATGGAAACACTAGGGATCAGGTACTGAGGGGAAGATAAATAGAGCAGCACATCTGCAGAATACTTCAAGCAGGAGGCCCAGTGAACCATGCCGCTTTGTAATTATAATAAAAAATAAAAATGCTGGGTGATTTAGGACTGCCATGTGTGCTGGGTGGAGACTCAGCCTCCCATTAAAGACAGTGTGGCCCCCATATAGGCAGTCTAGTGGAGGGGTGCCAGCCAAAATGGAATGATAATGAGGACATTGGCTCGCTTCAGAGAATTGGAGTGTAATTGAGTTAATGAATGCATTCTGTTGCATCTCTGATTGAGCGCATGTCCCTTCGGCACTTCCTTTAAAGCGTTCTGACTGTTCTGTGTGTGTGTGTGTGTGTGTGTGTGTGTGTGTGTGTGTGTGTGTCGACAAGCTCACTTCCGCATTCTCCTCCGCCTGACATTGAGATAGTTCATTCAAGAATTAAAATGGTGATAATTAATCTCCTGTATGTCTCTCCCTTTTATGTCTTCACCGTCTGACTTGATTTAGTAACTATATAACTAGCTGGTTTATGACTGGGAATATCATGATTCAAAATGACAAAAATGCCATCAAAATAAACTAAAATTCCCCCAAAATTCAAGATGAGGAGGCAAAAACTGTGCCTACACAGTTTAACTAAATCTGTTATGACTGTTGCAATTAAACTGAAATGTGTGTTTATTGCGGCATTACAATTAGATTAGTTTGCAAAATCAGATTTTGTCGTACACATTTCTGCTTAAAAATGCAATGGCCAATCAGAGGATTTTGATTAATCACTGCTGAAAATGCCAGAGTTTTGTTTAGTGCACTTTCTCAGTCTCGCAAATTCTCTGTTTCAGTGATTTTTGAGAGAGAGCATAACTCGCGCAAGACTGGAGTCATGGGCCGCTTCAGTGATGGAGAATGTGTGAATGTGAAGTCTTGATTTTCTAATGTGTAAAAAGCAATAAATAAATGGTTCAATTCATAAATGGTTCTTGGCTTGTTTTGTCTGTGTATCATTAATCATTATTGCAATATTAAAAATAATAATAAGTTGCCCATACACAAGTACAAAATGCCCCTGGAAATCAGTCCTGCTCATGTGGCCTTTATTTCTTTATGTATTATTCCAGGTCTTCTGTAGCCATATAAAAGTGATTTTATAAGAAACAAACAACATTTGAAATATTAAATGGAACATTTTATTTGCAAATCTGCACGAATTTTGAAGTGCCCTATTTGAATATATGTAAACACAAATGAAATTTTAGAGCTATGAGTTTCAATGAATAACGAATTAAATTTTGGTCTGTTCCTCACACAAAGTAACTGTATAGTTTCAAAAGACATGAAATATAATGCACTGGTCTTCTTATGGACTTCTTTTGTGATTCATTTGTGTTTTTTTGTTATTTTGGGAGCTTGACAGTCTAATGTCTTTGGAATGACTTGAAGGTAAGTAAATGATGACAGAAATCAAATTTTTGGGTGAACTATCCCTTTAAGGCTTCATGGTTGCTCTTTTTTATGTCATTGGATCTTCTGCCACATAGTTTGCTTGAAGGCTTAGTTTAACTCAGTGTGTTTCTCCTACAGATCGGTCAGTGGCATTCAGAGCAGGGACTGTTTCAGCTCATGCCATGTGCTTCTGATTCCACAGAGCCATCGAGGCTGTTTGGCTGACGCTGGATTTGATTTGTGAGAGTAAGGTGGTATCTCTACCATAGAGGCGAGGACAGAATGAAATAGAAAGCAGGATCTTTTGATCATATTCTCAGAGGAAATCTGTGATTCTGGGTGTCCTTGCATTCTCAGTTTCCCCTTTCTTCATCTCTCACTGTGTTCACTGCAAAACATTTTTTGCCTTATTCTCTAAACAAGATACATCTACTTGATGCAAAACTATGTATTATTATTATAATTAATATATTAAGCCTTGGTTTCAGAGAATATATTAAGTTTATTGTTGTTATCCCATTAGCCAATTATTTGATTTTAATAATAACTAAATATTATTATATTTACATATATACAATAAATGTTTTGTTTTGAAAGAATATATATCTTGAGTTATGTTTATTTTTGGTATCCCAATGTCAAATTTTTTTTTTTTTTATTTTAACCATAATTATCTGAAGCATGTCTTAATATCTTCTATCTGTTTTGCTTCTCAAGTAAATATATCTTGTTTTAGGGATATTTTAGTGGAAAACAAGACCAAAATAATGATTAAGAAAATATTTTTTGCAGTGTGCTTTGAGGTTTACAGTTGAAAGCATGGTGAGCTATTTTCAAATGGATTATCCTCGGCATCTCGCAATCTCACGAGGATCAGTGCAATCTTGAACAGCAGCTCTCCTTTGCAACATAAAAGTCAAACTAGTGCAGATGTATTTTGCCCTTGCTTTTAGGAGTGTTTCATGCAAGATCCCCCATGCATGCAGGATTTGGAGAAATATTCCTGGTTCTGTGGCTTCAGCATCCATAAAGTCCTTAGAATAACACTACTACATTATTTTTGCTTCTTACATTCACTTTGAACCAAAAAAAACTTCCTGTTGCTCACTTTTTCCTCTGTTTGTGGCCCTTCACACTTTCGTATCTCAGAGAGTGGGTAATTTTAGATCCAGCGCAGTGCTGCATCATCCTCCCCTGTGTCATTTGGGTCTATGGAAACACTAGGGATCAGGTACTGAGGGGAAGATAAATAGAGCAGCACATCTGCAGAATACTTCAAGCAGGAGGCCCAGTGAACCATGCCGCTTTGTAATTATAATAAAAAATAAAAATGCTGGGTGATTTAGGACTGCCATGTGTGCTGGGTGGAGACTCAGCCTCCCATTAAAGACAGTGTGGCCCCCATATAGGCAGTCTAGTGGAGGGGTGCCAGCCAAAATGGAATGATAATGAGGACATTGGCTCGCTTCAGAGAATTGGAGTGTAATTGAGTTAATGAATGCATTCTGTTGCATCTCTGATTGAGCGCATGTCCCTTCGGCACTTCCTTTAAAGCGTTCTGACTGTTCTGTGTGTGTGTGTGTGTGTGTGTGTGTGTGTGTGTGTGTGTGTGTCGACAAGCTCACTTCCGCATTCTCCTCCGCCTGACATTGAGATAGTTCATTCAAGAATTAAAATGGTGATAATTAATCTCCTGTATGTCTCTCCCTTTTATGTCTTCACCGTCTGACTTGATTTAGTAACTATATAACTAGCTGGTTTATGACTGGGAATATCATGATTCAAAATGACAAAAATGCCATCAAAATAAACTAAAATTCCCCCAAAATTCAAGATGAGGAGGCAAAAACTGTGCCTACACAGTTTAACTAAATCTGTTATGACTGTTGCAATTAAACTGAAATGTGTGTTTATTGCGGCATTACAATTAGATTAGTTTGCAAAATCAGATTTTGTCGTACACATTTCTGCTTAAAAATGCAATGGCCAATCAGAGGATTTTGATTAATCACTGCTGAAAATGCCAGAGTTTTGTTTAGTGCACTTTCTCAGTCTCGCAAATTCTCTGTTTCAGTGATTTTTGAGAGAGAGCATAACTCGCGCAAGACTGGAGTCATGGGCCGCTTCAGTGATGGAGAATGTGTGAATGTGAAGTCTTGATTTTCTAATGTGTAAAAAGCAATAAATAAATGGTTCAATTCATAAATGGTTCTTGGCTTGTTTTGTCTGTGTATCATTAATCATTATTGCAATATTAAAAATAATAATAAGTTGCCCATACACAAGTACAAAATGCCCCTGGAAATCAGTCCTGCTCATGTGGCCTTTATTTCTTTATGTATTATTCCAGGTCTTCTGTAGCCATATAAAAGTGATTTTATAAGAAACAAACAACATTTGAAATATTAAATGGAACATTTTATTTGCAAATCTGCACGAATTTTGAAGTGCCCTATTTGAATATATGTAAACACAAATGAAATTTTAGAGCTATGAGTTTCAATGAATAACGAATTAAATTTTGGTCTGTTCCTCACACAAAGTAACTGTATAGTTTCAAAAGACATGAAATATAATGCACTGGTCTTCTTATGGACTTCTTTTGTGATTCATTTGTGTTTTTTTGTTATTTTGGGAGCTTGACAGTCTAATGTCTTTGGAATGACTTGAAGGTAAGTAAATGATGACAGAAATCAAATTTTTGGGTGAACTATCCCTTTAAGGCTTCATGGTTGCTCTTTTTTATGTCATTGGATCTTCTGCCACATAGTTTGCTTGAAGGCTTAGTTTAACTCAGTGTGTTTCTCCTACAGATCGGTCAGTGGCATTCAGAGCAGGGACTGTCCATGGAGAGGAAGCTTCCATCACTTAACGTGACAGACACACTATTCAACACCACTCTCACCATAACTACCATCCTGGTAAGTCCTATCTTCTGCTCTGGTCCAGGTTCCTCAGTAGAGGACACACCCTACCAATTTAGCCAAGAGATTTACACACACACCCTGGAAAGGATAAATGGTTGCTCCTTTTTGAAGGAGTCTCTCTTTAGCTTCCAGAAACTTTAGCTTCTGTCTATTCTCTGATCACCTCAGGGTTCAGCACGGATCTAAATAAAGGCTCTTCTCCTCTGAGATGAGTGGAAACTAACAAGTATGCGTGTGATAGCATTTCCTGGAGCAGCAACCACCAATTGAAGATGTAATCCGCTAGGCTGTTATCTAGAGGCAATTTTCTCATCTTCTCGTACACTGTATAGTGATGAGAAAAAAAGAGGTTCTCCGCAGCCTTAGGCCAGATGTCCCATATCTGGCTAGGTCATCTCTCACTAGAAAAGAGAGAGGAATAAAGAGACTGCGAATGAAGAGGGGCCGTGCAAGGTAAATGAAGTGCTCGAAAGCCCATAAATAACTGGTTTAAAGCAGCCTTGTTGAGGACAGATGGAGAAATCTTCTTTAGTTCAATTTACACCTGATGAAAGGTATGATAAGCATGAAGAACTGCTGAAAAGACAAGCACAGTCATGCAGTTTGAACTGCATGATGCATTTTATAAAAGCACTTACATTAATTATTTTGGTTAAACTTATTTTGAGTATTATTTTTGTAATTGCTTTGAGCTGTAAAGTTGTTCTCATTATTTTTATGTTTGTTTGGGATTTAGATGTTACGTTGCCAAGTAGTAAAATTGGCTTTAACATTACACAGAAACAGGTTAAGTGATTTTTTTTTCACAGTTAACATCATGTTGTGGCTATACTATTGAAACACTGAGTATTTTAATGTTTATAGATTGGAGCTATTCATGTCCGTTGGAAGTGCCTGTAAACCAGATTTTTTTCTTTTTTCTTTTTCTTTTTTTTTTAAGAAAAAGTTTATATCATGTGCAGAAGAAGCCGGAGCCTCAGAGAGAAGATTAATTTTTGTGGTAATCAGCATTATGCCACAAATGGCATCATCTGAGCTTAGTCACCATTAGGGGCAGTCATGGCCTAATGGTTAGAGAGTCAGACTTGTAACCTAAAGGTCCTTTCCTTTCCCTTTCCATTAAATCAAAATGGACAATTTATATTTATAATGGAAGCATTTCGGTGTTTGTTCTAAATTATTTATCCATGCACATCATTACAGTAAAACAGTAACTTCCCCTCCTCTCTCAGCGTCATCGATCCAATGATCCAGTCAATTCCTGATGGACAAAATCGAGCCCCACCCCAAAGTTTTTCTTATTCGAGAAGCTGTTTCACTTGGATATACGTCACAATTTAACTCGTTAAAGCTTGTTGAAAACCCTGGTGGGAACATCAGCACACCAGCTTCCAACACAACATACACTCTAAAAAATGCTGGGTTAAATATAACCCAGCGCTGGGTTAAAAAGGGACAAACCCAGCCATTGGGTTGTTTTAGCCCAACTATTGGGTTGTTTTGACCCAGCGGTTGGGGTCAAAACATCCCAACCGCTGGGTCAAAACAACCCAATAGCTGGGTTTGTCCCTTTTTAACCCAGCGCTGGGTTATATTTAACCCAGCATTTTTTAGAGTGTATGCTGGTGTTTTCAGCAGGTTTATGAAAAACTGCTGTGCAGTACTGTAAGTGAAATAGAGATGATTATGTCGGGGAGGTGTGTGTGTGTTTCACTAAAGGAAGGAGTGGAATACAGGTGGAGCGATTAGTTTCTCTCAGATCTTTTATTGTTAATGTGCTTGATGATGTTGCAGCTGGGAGAACTGGGGAGAAGTTTGCACTGTGTGTTTATTCCTCTTTAAAGATATACAAAGACTTTGGCTGCATTAAAGAGCCACCGAAGAGCAATTTCAGCTCTAGCATGGCCCATTCATCACAGGCTGATTGCAAAGTCTGCTTTATCTCGGTAAACGCAGCACAGTTGAAAACATGCTGCAGAACTCAGCACCTGTGGACCACTCCACCAGCGTTTTCATTACTGCTGTGAGCTTTTGTCATCGCAGGAGTTAAAGCACACACACAAACACACAGATTGAATTTTACCCTGTTGAAATGGGCTAGATCAAACATTTTTGTAAGGATAGACAGTATATTAGATCTGGTTTGGCTTGTAGTGGTAAAGCTGTCTAAACTGTACAAACTGTTCTGTGGGGTTTTGTAGTTGGTATTGATGCCTTTGGCATTGTATCATGCGCAGAAGGAGCCGGAGCTTTAGTGCTTCATTGAGAAAGCAAATAACTCATGTTTGTTTGTAACTTTTTTTTTTTACTCTGCTTTTCATAACTCACAGCCTTTGATTGAGAAAAAACTGTGTTACTCTGCCATTGATTGACTGGTTTGTGTGGCAATTGGCAGACTTGGTAAAGATATAATATCCAATTTAATATATGATACAATATTAACTCACTTTAACTCGTTATGTATTAGAGAACTTCTCAGAGTAATATTACTCCTTTAATACTCATTAATATTGCTGATTAATTTCTGAACTTAACTGCGAGGAATAATGTGTGCTTAAATGAGTCATTAAATATTTTATAAAGCTTTCTGAAGTCCTTATAATGTTTGTAGGATAATTACAAAACTGCCGTAATTTAGAAATACATTTCTATGCTGATTTCAGCCCTCTGATTTAAAAACTTTGTTTAAATGGGAGGATCTCCTTTAAGACTTGTAAATGTAAACGGACACTGCTATGATTGGCTGACATCTTTGCATATGAATAAGTATTACATGTACTCTTTTAAAAACTTTTACTATGTTTTTACCATCATAGCTGCTGGGATTAACTAATCGTGAAAAGTGATTATAACATTATATTTCAATCTACTCCTATTGCTTTGATTACAGATGTTCATTAGGCATTAGTATATTTTAACTGTTTTTATAGAAATATACTTTATATAAAACTATATATAACTTTATATTTATTTAGCACACTCTTTTTCGCAGAGAGAACTTCAGTGAGGGCATACTAAATGCTAACTTGTAGAAATTCATGTGTTACAATTGGCCACAGTCCCTTCGTAATCATTACTGGTGTGTAGTCGACCAGTGGGCAATGGGGCCGGAGGTGAATTCACAGTTGTACCACTGCTTTTCACATACCTCCCGCTGCACTCAACCAGGCACTATAAGAGCTTTTGGGTTTGCTCTGTTTGACACAGTTATTGCCGGATTTGCATAATTCCCTCAGTGAGTCAAATACTAAAACAACACAGACAGTGTGTGCAAATACAAGACACTGCTGTTTTATTTGTGTTTAATAATTTTTCAACTTTTGTGTGCTGTCATTTGATTCGGTTTGATATGTTTTCCCTTCAACAACTGCTTGCTTTCTCAGATAAAGCCGTTGTCAGGACCTTTTTTCTTTTCTAAGCTCAAATACATATTGTTTTGCCTTTGAAACTGGGTTCACATTCCGTTCACTCTATAAAATCGCCTTTCTGTGATGCTATCTGCAGTGTTTTTCAAAATGCCACATCATGCTTGAATGGAATCACTGAGAAAAGTCATGTGAGCCTTTACCGTCCCGAATTGTCTCTGAGAACCCATCTTAAAGAAAAAGCAAAGTATTATTAATCTGTATAGGTGCAATATCAGAAGACAATAATTTGACATGGATTGGATACTGTATTACTGCATCTTCTCAAAGAAAAGAGAGTCCTCACATTCAGCAGCTGAATTCACGCTCACTGCAATCAATGATGGCGATAAAGTGCTCTTTCTGAAAACATGGAGAAATACAACTGCAGAAGCAATTTCACGATGAAACCTCAGGCATGCCACCTTCAGTGGACAGACAACTTTATTGTGTACAAGAAGAGGCAGATAGCCTTTATTCACAGAGCAATTGGAAATGTTCATAAATATCAAATGTGAGGCACTATCTTCATGTAATGTTCTGCCTCTGTGACCAATTTCTGTCTCTCAGTCCGCTATCAGGCAGAGCTGGTTCTGTCTGGACTATCTTCAGTGCCATTCACCCCCTGTAAGCCATAAAAAATGGGAGGCATATATGAATCAAAGAGAGAGTAGGGGACCAGTCAGTTACCACTCCCTCATGTTTTTTGAGAACGTCTGAGAAATGCTAACACACAAATCCAATTTTTCCTCACCTTCTGAACAAAAAGCTTTGAGATTTGATCTGAAGTAAGATTGACATTAATGTGTTTGCTTTTCAAACGCACCAAACCGGACTGCCGCCATGCTATATTTGTAAAATTTATTTCATCAGCTGACAGCCTTCCAAGAAAACAAATAGAATCAAATCTGCTGCAGATCCCAGACTGCTGAGGAATGTTGCATTTGGCAGACTTGACACTCAAAGTGCCCTTAATCTCACTGTCTGCGCTATTAAAGGGAAAGTTTCTTTCTCTGATGTGACCCGCAGATTTTATGGAACCATTCATGCTCGGAAGAAAGGATTGCTTGGCCTGATAACAGCACTCACTCAGTTGATTGATGCCCGAGCTCCATTCCTGAGATTGATGGCGATACGCCAGGACCGCTCCTGTGTGTTCACAGTTAACCTCACTCCTCTTCCTCAATTGCTTCCTCCCTCTTTTCATAGGCTTTGCTAACAATAGATTATTATACGTAAATATGTGGTCGCTCTGTTTTGTGTCACTCAAGCATCAATTAGACTTGAAGCTAGCTGACAAAAGGAGTTGATTTATCAGTTTAATTTATTGATAATTTTTAGTTACTGTAACGTGATATGTAATTTCAAAGGTTAAGATGTTAGCTTGCTAACTGAAGGTTAACTGAAAACAATGAAAGCAGATATGTTTTATTTGATCATTTTTGGCTTTGGTGATGCTATGTTAAATGGTAAAGTTATATGTAATTTAAGTGACTCATCTAAGCTGTTAGCTTGCTAACGGCTGAAAACAATCTGGTTACATTTTTATAGCTTCTGTAATATTACTGGAAATGTAATCTAAAAGGATAAGGTAGGCTTAGCTGTAAAAAAAAATGCACAAAAGAAAAATGTTTAATGCAATTTTATAGCTTCTGAGGACTGGAAAACAAAGGAATGCTTGTTAACTTAAAACAAAGAATGGAAAATGTTTAATTTGACGTGATTGATGTAATTGACTGGTGCCAGAGCTCCATTTCTGATATTGCCCATACAGAAATGAACCATGGTTTTACTTCAAATAAAATAAAATAAAAACCATGGTTACCATAGTTAAACCATGGTAACCACAAATTTACCATGATTTTGCTGCACTAACCATAGTTTAACCGTGGTATTTGTAGTAAAACTGTGGTTACACAAATGGTAATCAATACGCAAAAAAAAAAAAACATGGTTACTACATTTTTACTATAATAAAACCATGGTTTAATTTTCGTAAGGATGATGGCAATAAATCCAGTGTGTGCACAGGTTACTTCCCTCCTCTTCCTCGATTTCTTTTCCTCTGTCTTTTCATAGATTCTGCTTATAATAGATAATTAAGTATGAATGTGTAATCATTCCCTTTTCTTTGACTTAATCATCAATCAGACCAGAGGCTAGTTGGCCATTACGGGCCACATGTAATGACCCGAAGCCGTTGATGACTTCTCTCTCCCAGTGCATAGACCTATTAATTGAATCCAGAAGGTTTGTTTATTAGCTATCTTTCTTTCTTTGAAACCATCCCTGAAATGCTACTCTTTAATAAGCCTAGTTGAGAGAAAGTGTCCAGCTGCAATACTTGAGTGCCTCCAGCAGGCTGTAAGCGATGAAAATTAGCATTTATATTGTGCTTTTCTGCATAACCACCGCAGCGGTGTCAGTGCGGGGCATTACGGTAACATGCATGGATGATTCAACAAATTAATGAACAAAATGGAAGGATTTGCATTTATAGAGTGTCAGACTCTGGGCCAAAGCGGTTCTTCTTTGTGCCATGGCAATGTGGGATTTCGCTGTTTGCTCCGACAGGTCCAAGGTGCGCACATCCATCTGCAAATACAGCGTGCAGCTTTTATGGACATACAAATGAGGTGAAAGGACAGTTACCGTGTTATTTGGATGCATATGAGCGGCTCGTATTAATAGGGTTCAGGTTTATTTGAAGTGTCGGAACATGTCCATTGATGTTCCCCCTCGTCTGACAGGCCGCAAGACCCAGCTGCTGCTATACTCAGGCCAGCTGGAGCGTGGACACTGGGCACATCAAAAATCAAGGATGCAGGACCAGACAAGCAGGTAAAAAAAAAAGAAGAAGAAAATGTTGCCATGGCGATGCGAAAGGCTGAAAAGTCTCCTCAGCTCTTCAGATTGCCGCTCAAAGCATCAAGTGGAGCAAGTCAGATTTACTGGTGAAAATGAAACACTCTTTTCAGTCAACCAGTATGCGCTAAACAAATCATAAGTACAACAGACCTATTTTAGTGTCTGTCTTACTGCAACACATCAGACAAAGTGATTTTTTTTTTTCAGTTATACAAAAAAACTTCTTATATGGCTGGTTTCATTCTGTAGTGTCTATTTATGTCCAATGTAGCAATGTTCTGTTCAATTTGTGCAAAGTGTTTGAAAATGGCAGTAAAAATATCCCAATGTATAACGGTGGGCACAGTGAGTGTTTATTGAAAGAATGCAGGATGAAATGTTTACGGAACCTTTATTTTGACCACAGATTGCCTAATAAATCTTTTTAGTCTTTGGGCAGCATGAGAAAACAAACCATAAATTAGGAACTTGGTCTTGTGGTGTGGGCTCACATTAGTCATTATGTGTCCAAACTGTTGCTAAGCTTTCATCCATGTATTTTTATGCAAACTTATATCACGTTAAAATATTGCTTTAAAACCACTGGATGGAAATGTCAAGATGTGCATAAAATCATAAAATGTGCATAAAATGTGTTAAACTGAGGCGGATCATTATTTTTATCCAGTACGAAGACATGCGTATAAACTACAATGGAAATACATTTACAGAATAAATTTCTTAAAGGGGTCCTATTATGCTTTTTCAGTTTTTCAACTTTAGTTAGTCTGTAATGTTGCTGTTTGAGCATAAAAAAGATATGCAAAGTTACAAAGCTCAAAGTCCACTTCAAAAGGAGATATTTTATTTAACAGAAATCACTTTTCCAAAACTACAGAAACTATTCAAGCCGTTCATGCCAGACTGGGGAGAGAGGTGTTGTAATAATGTCAAATATGTGAACAATAATGTGTTTTTCGAACAACCTAGTATGAGAACCTGGGGCCCGTTCTTCGTACGTCGCTAACTCAGTTAGCTGGATTTTTTTAATTATGATGTCATTACGTTGCTGTCTTGCCGCCAGCCAATCGCTGCACTGCTGATTGTGGTTTTGAGTATCGATACATAGCCCCTTTTAAACCAACCCATGAACGCGCAATTATCTCAGATAACTCAATCCAGCCATACTAATCATCAACAACAGGTGCGTTCAAAGAACCGAATTAGCCAGATCCTGATTAGCTCGATCATATCATCTTGGATGTGACGTTTCATCTCGGATGTAATAAGCGACGTACGAAGAACGGGCCCCTGTTCTAGTACACCCCCAAAACAAAATCAAGACTTTGTAAAAGAGCATAATAGGACCCCTTTAATGCGTAACAAAAACCTCATGTGGCTTTGCAAATCATTTAGTTGATAACTGGACTAACCAGTGGACAAATCTTATTGCACACCATCTTAAATGTTGGTTTAGTCATTCTGAAATGTCTAAACCAAAGTTTGGTATAATTACATCTCAGAACTGTCTCACACGATTGCGTTCCCAAACATCAGGCATCCGCCTCCAAACGCAAGATAACATGACAGCGTTTGTTATTGCGTTTCATCTGCACACTCTGAGGTGCAAGTAATTTCTTATGTAGGAAAAAAGAGCTCCAGTGTCTTCCCCAGTTGTATCAACTTCCATTATGATTTGATTTTAATTCGATTTTGTTCTCTTGAGCACATGGCATAGAAACGGTGCGATGTTCCAATTTTTCACATTTTAAATTCACAAGTTTAGATGGAAACACATCATGAAACAATGAAACAAACAATCATTTGTCACACAAATATAGAAGTGCTCCGAGAGTGTGTTGAGATGTGAGTGCCGACAGTAATGGCAATGATATCTTTACAGGAGAATCCATATGTAATGCTGAGAGCCAATCACCAGGAACTAGAAGGGAATGAGCGTTACGAAGGCTTCTGCGTGGACATGCTGAAGGAGTTGGCAGATATCCTGAAGTTCAAGTACCGCATTCGGCTTGTTGGGGACGGCGTGTATGGAGTGTCAGGCACCAATGGCACCTGGACAGGCATGGTGGGAGAGCTCATCAGCAGGGTGAGTGACGTCACAAGGGAATATGTTTTAGTTAAATTGGGACAGAATGGCATTCCGGTGTCATGTATTATCCCCCTTTCTTTGCCGCCTGGTCATTACTGGTATTGTGAATTCTTGCTATACGTTAGCTAGTAGACAAAGCTGTTAGCTTGCCAACTGAAGATACAAAGAAAGGAAAATGTTCAATGTGACCATTTTTAGCTTCTGGAATATAATGCGATGTGTAATTTAAAAGGCAAGTTAGGGGAAATTCTTTAATTTGATGTGATATGTAATTTAAAATGTGTGCATGTAATAATATGTTATGGGTAACTTGAAAAGCTAAAATAGGCTAAAATGTTAGCTTGCTAATCAACGGCTAATTGAAAAAGCTATAATCGTTTAAGCTGACAATTTTTAGCTTTAGTAATGTGAAATGTAATTTAAAATACACACACTACCGTTCAAAAGTTTGTGGTCTGTAATATATTTTAATGATTTTGAGTGATTTTGAATGATTTTAATGATATTTTAATGATTTAATGAACCTAGACTGCTTTTATTTAGTCAAAAACCCAGCAAAACAGTAATATTGTAAAATATTAATACAATTTAATATGAATGAATAAAATGAAAATTCTGTGATGGCAAAGCTGAATTTCCTTCAGAAATCATTCTAATGTGCTTATTTGGTGCTCAAGAACCATTTCTTATTATTATCAATGTTGAAAACAGTTGTGCTGCTTAATATTTTTGTGGAAACTATGATACTATTTTCAGGATTATTTTGTAAATAGAAAGTTGTCATTTCTAATCAGGCACTATATACACTATTCATAAAAAGTTGTTTCAGTCAGCAGAATGGCTTTGTTGAGGAAGGGGGATAAAACGTTATTGTTTTACAAACAGTTTGTTTGTCTAGTAGCTTGTCATATCTTACTTGGGGAAACAGAATAACTGCCAGATTTTATGCTTCCTCTACTCCAAAATTCCAGTTTAACCCCTAGTTATACTGGCTTCTAGAACAGCCATTCCCATGTATTATGAATTTCATTCAAAGCACACCACTTCTGCTGTTCAGGATAAGTAGCATGAAAAGATCTGCTTCCTCTTGTTTTAGCCTAGAATTATTCATTCTCAAATGCTCATTTCAATAATTCATTAAAGGAAGGAAGCCTTAAAGCTAGTCTAAAAGTTGTTTTACTTGCTTCCACACAGGTAATGCAGATTAACCAACAATATTCATGTTTATGCCTCCAACCCAGTTACAGGTTCCTTGTCCTAATGAATTTCAATTAGCCCATTTGATCCCATAACAGACACACACAAATGCGTTTCAAAAGATACGGTGAAGCGTGAAGAGTATTAGTCACATTCTGACAGCCACTAACATCCCGTTGATGAGATGGAAATCTTGCATGCCTCAAATTCTGTTTAGTTCCGAACACTTGCCCTTTTCAGCGGACATGTTATTTATTTCAAAACAGTTGCAGCAATATGGCGTGCTGCTGATTTATTCGTCCGTTTTTTGGCAGACACCGCAGGGAGCTAAGTAAATTTTTGGAAATTAACAAAAAGGCCACGGCAGGCAATATTCATATATTTCCAGAGGAAAGGGTCATAAACCAGAACATTTCTCCGCAGCCTATGTTCTCGCAAACAAAATCGGAGAGGCTTTGAGAAGTTATCCGTCTTAATTCCACAAGCTAATGGAGGGCAAAGCCATTAGTGAAATAAAGAAAGAAGTGCCTAATCTTATTATTGTCTCAATTTGTTCCCTCAAAGTATGCTCTATATAGCTGACCTTGAGAGTAGCCAATGAGTCTAATTGCATCCCACGCGCTATAGTGTCTGTAGACAGTAGAGGGGGTAATGAGGGGCAACTGAAGGAGGCGTCCTGACAGCCTCTCTATGCCTCTTGGATCCCATGAGGGACCTTTATCCTGTTATTTATTGCATAAAAACATGGGTGTAGATTTGCATATGAACAAAGACTACAGATATTTTCACAGTTGTGTTTGAATGTAACAAATATTGAATGAAGTACAAGCTAACATTTTGCCACGTCTGCTAATGGATGGTGACTTGAGAAAATTTACCAGCTATATTTTTTTTACTGGCCATAAAACTGTATGTGCATTATAATAAGAGTTATTATTATTATTATTATTGTCATTATTTTATATAACAATAGTACAATTACTATACAATATTTATATTTTTATTTGGGCTGAAAACCACAGGAATGCTTGAAATGCTTCTTTTTTTTGTTGACAAAAAAAAAACAATGTTATGTTTCACTATGATGCAGTGCATCAGATTATTTATTGTAGCGAATCAGCTCATGGGTCCTGACAGCCTCTCTATGCCTCTTGGATCCCATGAGGGACCTTTATCCTGTTATTTATTGCATAAAAACATGGGTGTAGATTTGCATATGAACAAAGACTACAGATATTTTCACAGTTGTGTTTGAATGTAACAAATATTGAATTAAGTACAAGCTAACATTTTGCCACGTCTGCTAATGGATGGTGACTTGAGAAAATTTACCAGCTATATTTTTTTTACTGGCCATAAAACTGTATGTGCATTATAATAAGAGTTATTATTATTATTATTATTGTCATTATTTTATATAACAATAGTACAATTACTATACAATATTTATATTTTTATTTGGGCTGAAAACCACAGGAATGCTTGAAATGCTTCTTTTTTTTGTTGACAAAAAAAAACAATGTTATGTTTCACTATGATGCAGTGCATCAGATTATTTATTGTAGCGAATCAGCGCATGGGGAAATATGAATAATTAATCATAACTAGTTATAATTAATTATAAATATTTAGATCCGCTGTAGATATTTAGCTGACCTCTCAGGGTCAACTGTCACATGCAGTGATTTTCCCTGCTTCGCATTCCTCTAGGCAATAAACCCAGTGATATCAGCGTTGGTTGCCATGGAACCAGAGGCCTGTTCTGCCCTCCTGCGGTGTTACGCATTTCGGGGGAAGGGTCCATAGTTCCTCATATGGCTTGTTAACTGAGGGGTGTTACAGAGTATTTGTTAAATATAGCTAACAAAATATATATTGTGTGTTTGATTGGTCCAGACGCTACATTATTTATTTGTTCAGTTTTTGTGTTTTTCTCATGCTTGCATTTGTAATATAACATTTTATTTCCCTTATTAAAGTATATTAACAGTTGGTACTGTATACGAGTGACTTTTTAACATTTAAAATAATTAATGATCAATTAATTTGTTTTTGATTTTTTTGTTTTGGTTTGTTTTGATTTTTGTTTTTTTTGTTTTGTTTCATTTTGTTTTTGGCCAGCATATCTATTTACATGCTGAATGCAATCTATAGCTCAAGAAAAATTAATCTTAAGATATTAATGGTCAAATCAAAGTTTAAAATTATGTTTAATTGATGTATTTTGATGGTTATGTGTTGATAAATGCGGTAGCAAATACAATACCAATATCTTTCTTCTATTAATATTAGAATTTATAATGTTTAATAATAATATAATACATTTTGCTGGTGGATGGGAATTTGCACAAAAGCAGCTCACTTTTGTCCTGAAATATGGACTCCTGATCCCAAAGGGGGTCTTGGTCATGCTTTCTAATGTTCTATAAACTCTTGTAAAACTAAAGGCAGTGCAATAGTACACAAAGGTAGCGAAGCAGCCGAGCTGTCAGGGTTTTCTCTAGCGGCAGATGAAGAATAAGCCTCAGAGGGAATTTGAAATGTCACACTGGGAACTTACATCAATGTATTATTCAGTAGAGATAGAGTTAACATTGCCGCCTTCTCTCATTTTTGGGGGCATCACTTTTTGATTGAGTCAAAGCTGAAGGGGAGGATGGAGCGCAGGAAGAATATCATACTGCATTATTTATTATTTAGAGTCTCTGTCTCATAATTTTCCTCTCTGTGCAGTCCAGTCATCAATATTAATACGTAACGAGATGTCAAATATTTGAGCTGCAGTTATTGTCCTTGTTTTTGTTATGGAGGACATCTGTTTGAGGGATTTCTGTTCAGCAGGGACCACGTAATTTCCTTGTTTGTGTGTCAGCGTGATGTTTTGTTGTGTGAAGTGAAGTGTGCATGAGTTGAAGAGCTGTGGGCCACAGTTGAACTATGGAGAGCACTTGAAGATTAGTGCATCTGCAAGCTGTTATTGTGGAAGCAATCTTCAGGGAACGTGCGAGAGTTCATCTTCCCGCACCACAGTCTCTTTTGATATGGTGAAGTACTGTACATGGCAAGATAACGACATAACTGGCTTTATAATCAGGTGAGCAGACTGTTGCAGGGCCATTAGTTAACTAAAACTAAAACCATTAAAAAACATTGTTACTTGAATTAAAATAAACTTTAATAAAATATTTAAATATTTTTTAATAAAATGTTTTTTTAAAAAGTATATTATTTTGGCTTACAATGACTAAAACCAAGATAAAAATTGATAAAAACTATATAGACAGAAAAAAAAAAACAATAACAAAAATACACACCAAAATTTCCAAAAAATTTAATTAAAACTAGGAACGTTTTGTCAAGACAAAATTTATGTTGGCTTGACAAAGCAGTTTGAAAATAAAAAAATATATATATATGAAAATAAACATAACTTATACTATAATGGTATCTTAATGATACTTCTCTTATCTTGAAATGTGCCTAAAGTTCCTAATTCGGCTCTCAGAGTTAACAAGCCTCTCCTGTCACTTTCAAGGGGTTCAGGTTAGAGGATAAAACATCACATTGTAACTGGTATCTGCTGTCCAGAGATTCTCTCTCATTTACAGCACAGCTCCAATATCCCATCATTCCTCCTGGAGAGGACAAAGAGCAGTGGAGGGTAAGAGTGTGTCCCGCAGGACCGTAAAATCCATTGCAGATGCACTTTTCGGTGTTGTTTGATTAGTGGGATCCAGCCGCAGCATCATGCTCGGCAGCACTGGATGCTGTGTCAAGTGATTTGTCGTGACAGTTTCTGTGTTCATGTTCCATCACACACACACACACACACAACAACAACTCAGCTTTGCCCTTCAGTATTCACCAAGATACAGGTATTTGGACTGGAAGCAGTTGTTTCCAGGTGTAAAATGACAGGTCATGGCAGCTTAAGGTGGTTAAGCTGGTTTGTTGCTGGTTTCAGATGGTCTACATGCTCAAATCAGCTTAACTAAGATGGACTACAGGGGTGTCATGATTTTGAGGGGGGTCCAGTGGAAATTTGTGCTTTTGGAGAGAAAAGAAACAAACACTTTTTACCTATTTCATTGGTGACAAGGCTAGGTAGATGATGACAGTTTTATTTTTCTGTGTTGTAATATTTATATTATAATTATAAAACTTTTTATTTTAGTTTTTATTTTACTTCATTTTAGTTTAAGTGTCAGTGATTTTGTTATGTGCTTTCATCATTATTATTTTTGGGTTTTTTTTACTTTAGTTACTTCAGTTTAAATTTTAGTCATTTTAACTTTAAGGTTTTCATCTAATATTTAAATTTAATTGTAATCATTTATATAAATACATTTTGAATTTTATAATTCCATTTGACAATAAGCATTGTTTTGTGTAATTTATATAATATTATAGTATTTATTAATATTTTGAATTAGCAATTGTTTTAATATTTTCTATTTTTCTTTTAGTTTTAGTCATTTTGTCTTTTTTAGCCTTATTTTTAGTAACTTTAATACTTCAACATTTAACTTTTTAAGTTTAAGTTTTTCATCTAATACTTATACTTTATTTTATTTAAGCTTTATTTTAATTCACAAAAACTATTTGTTTTACTTTTAGTTAACAATAACAACACTGTTGATAATTAAGTATAAATTCACTTAGCCTAAATAGCTGAGGGGCCAGTTGCCCCCTTTCTTGAACCAGCAAGAAACCATGTATAAACCACCTTAGTCTGGTTAGTCTGGCTCCATTTTTTTGTACCTTTTTATCCAGACCCGTACTAATGGCTGCTGTTATTGTGCATGTGTTTCAGAAGGCTGACCTGGCTGTGGCCGCCCTGACCATCACGGCTGAGAGGGAGAAGGTCATTGATTTCTCCAAACCCTTCATGACTCTGGGGATCAGCATCATGTACCGAGTGCACATAGTAAGTTCCTCCTCCACCCGCTGCAGCTCGAGACTCCCGAACCATTCCCAACCTTGCAGCATTAAAGATCAACAACCCTCAACAATCGGCAACCTCTAATGGCCGGAGAGAGAGTGCGTGGGAAATAAATAGAGAAATACTTTGGGGCAGAGAGATCTGAGCATCACCTTGCTCTAGCAGATGGTGTGCTGTGGTGTGAAAAGCTGATAAATGTAGTGCTTTCCTTCCCAATTTCAAATTCTCCTTATTGTGACTTGTATCTAATTCACACCTATAACACCCCGAGCTCTTGCACACAGCAACACTGAAAATCCAATAGCTCTTTTATTTTTAAAGGCCTGTGCGCCATTAATCAAAGCCCCTCCCCAAACCCAAGGTGACATGCTGGTCTCTCTGTTGGCTAAATGCCAGATTAAGCCACTCGGTGCAGCGTGTGCAAACATTAATGTGGTGTCCCGGTAGGGCATTTACACAAACACACACACTCACTTACACAAACACATCATCAGCCCCCCCACTCTGTTCGTGCTGTAATAGTTACTCCTGTGTGCGTCTTCATTGGTTGAGAGCAGTTGGGGTAATCAGTAACACCAGGTGTGCTGTTAACTGAGAAAGAGCACCTGTCTAGCAGATTTTTGAACTACGGCATGCAAACACAATATGGCTTTGAACCTAGCTTAAGGATGCACATTATTTTGTAGAACCGTAACTGCCATAGAATCCCCCCCCATTTGAAATGGCCAAATGCCCCCCCCCACCCAATATTTCATAATGATGCTGTCTGTAGTTAGGATGACAAAAAGTTGGCTGCTCTGCCTCAGCGGTCTTAACAGCACTTATTAGTGTCACAATGACTGAGACGTCCAATCAAATCAAAGAAGATGGATTGTTACTGTTCACAGAAGCCGAAGATGAATTCTAACACAACGCTTCAGATTTTAACATTTAGTGAAGATGTTAAGTGTGAGGTAAGATGTAAGTAGCTAAATATTTAATATCTGACAACTGTTAAACAACCAATAATATCCTGTGATGCAAATTATTGGACTTTTTTAACAAATGTTGCTGTTTTGAATTGAACATGGATTATATTGGACGTAATTCATAACTGAATGGGACACTGTTTTTTGTTGTTTTGTGTTTTCAAAAAATAATGCACACATTTACTCTTATTCATATTTTAAATTACAAACTTTAGTTCAAAATTGTTCAAACTGATTATAAAAAGTCTTGTTCTTTTACTGTTCTTCCTTCTTTTTCTTTATTCCCTTAAATCTAAAAATGTAAGAAAATTGAAAAACAAAAAGCCCCCCCCCCCCCCACCCCC